ATATGCTGGTCACGGTAATACAGCATTTTATGGCAATAATAAAGAGTATTTATCTTGTTTTTTGTTTTTTTTAAACATTACCTTGTTTAGACCACCTGAACAATCACTGAGATCTTCCAAAAGAGGAAAAAAAAGAAAAAAAAAGCACTTTAAGGTCTAATATTTCACCGTGGAAAATAGGAGACCTTACAGTGTGAATACAATGAAATTCACTTGTTTCCCATGTATGTTTTCTTTTTCTTTTTTTTTCCAGCCATATAAAGCTAAAGGAAACTGGAGAGGACTATACACACACCTGTACATACACAAAATTAACATTAACAACAAAAGCAAAACAAAACAAATGACGTTGAGCATCTTGTTTGATCTTTACTTAGACAAAGCGTTAAAATGTTCCCGGTTATCATTTATTTTCGACTAGATGCTATCAAACTTGTTGCTGTGCAAAAAACTGCTCGCCTTTTCCCAAATGAGGCATGTTAGAAATCAAGACCGAGCTGACCCGCAGGGTCATAAATGATGTGCGCTTTTGCCAACCCTTCAGTTTTATCTCTGAAAACTATATAAGTTAATGCTGAGTCACGCGACGGTCTGATTTTCTTTTTGATCAGTGACGTTTATCGGCTCTACTAAAAGGCTCATTCTGTTACTCAGCTTATTACAGCTGACAAATGAAGACTTTTATCCATTTGACCAGAGTCCTGGGCGACGCTAACATTTAGCCAACAGGATTTGAACACTGACAGCACTACACGACACACAGATAACCTCACATTTAGGAGATGTAAAGGGCAGAGGTGCGAAGACATATGTGGACATAACACCCTGAGAACATGACACACTAACCTGCTGTTGAAAGCGCATACTGATGACAATTTTGCGATAAAATAGGCAGAAGAAGTTTACAGCTAGTGTCCTGTATGACAGAAAAAAGATAGAGGAGGAACAATTTGTGATAGATGGATAGAAGCAAAAAATACCTGTTTTAACCAGCAGGTGGTGCCCCGACTCATGATTTAGGTTGAAACGTCCTTAATTTTGTCCCCAAACTATTATCCTTCTCACCACATATGTAAAGTAGCAACGAGCAAAGCAATGCTACAGTGAAGAAAGGATGAAATGTCTGGATTTGCTCAGTGTGTGCAAAAAATAAAACAAATTTGATGGTTTTCTTAAGACAGTTTGGGGAGAGGACATCTTTTTTGTTCATTCCAGTCACAGGCTGGGAAACGTTGTAGATCACGGGACACGAGCTGCAGCGGGATGCACATTTAAGAGAAAGAAAGCAATTCAAAGAAGAACTGACAACACTTTGGCGACTTGCAACCCTGTTGGCACAACGGGGACACAACGAGAGACAATTTGGAGAGATTCGGAGCGTTGTCGCTTTGGACGAAACGTGTTTACGTCTTGGCTTCGTTTGACACAGTCTCAGTCTGTCCCATCTCCATTTTTCCATGATTGTCTTTAGATTTAATAGACCACTTTTATCAGAAAAAAAAAGGCCAGCGTGTTTAGAAAAATCACTTCCCATCTTGTTTTCTGTTGGATTGTCTTCTGTTTTGTCACACAGGCGAAAGGAGCGGGTCAGTCAGTTTCGTACCTTATGTCACTATCATCACACTTTGTCTGCATCTCCTTATTAATTTCAAGTCTTTTCCTTCGTCGCTCCCTTTGACTGACGGCTCGGTCTAGACGATGGAGTCCCAGTCAAAATCATCCTGGATGTCGTCGGCAGCGAGCATGCGCCTCACCTGAAAGTGTCCCGGAGGCAGCGTGTGTTGTTGCTGGCTCAGCTGGCTGTGATGACCTGGATGTATAAGAAGATGATAATTACATCTGAATTATTTCTTCTTAAAATATGTGAGTAGGACAAAGAACAGCTGAAACTAAAAGTGTCTAAAACACAGCTAAAATATTGGAAAAACCAGAAAAAGTCAAAAACAGAGAAATATACTGTCAGCACATTACACCACGTACAAGTTGTCATCTACATAAAGTGCTCTAAATAACAGGTGATCATGACATGGTGACTCATATTAGTGAGTCACTGCAATGATTTTAATGGTTACTTTGAAACTAAAATGCATATTGGATACTATAAAAACGCTCAGTGTCTCTTAAGAAAATTATAAAATTAATGTATCAGAGAGGTGTTAATGCAACTTTATGACGAGATACTTCAGTATGTGGCAGCATTGTGCTGCATTAAGTGCCTTCACAACAATATTCTGAGCTACAAACGGATAATTTTCTGGGGAATTAAAGAAAATTTATACCAGTTTTTCTACTGGTTCACTTCATTAGGTATATCTATTAGTACTCGGTTAGACCACCTTCTGCCTTCAGAGCTGGCTTAATTCTTTATGGCATAGACTCAACAAGGTGCTGGAAACATTCCTCATAGATTCTGGTCCAAAGTGACAAGACAGCATCGTACAGTTGCTTCAAATCCTGCAGCTGCACATCTGTTTAAGTATAGTGAGCTCATGGTCACATTCAAGAAATCAGTTAGGAAGACTATGGTGATAAAATGATGCTCACTCAAATGTTGCTAAGATTCACAAAGTATGCCAATAAAATATCCTGAACACTAATGCACTCCATCACCACCAGCCCCTACCACTGATACAAGGCAGGATGGATCGATTTTGACCATCCAACTGTTCCAGAAAAAAACTCATTGTAGGACGTATAGGAGTGGGAACTGCTGTGGTCATCTCTTGCTGTGCCCCCAGAGATACAAAACTTGGTTGTACCGAGTGGTTATTTAAGTTACTGTTGCCTTCCTATCAGCTTGAAGCAGTCGGACCATTCTCCTCTGACCTCTGGTATGACCAAGGGATAGACAGAGCTCACTGGATACTTTTTTCTTTTTCAGACCATCATCTGTAAACTCTCAAGATGGTTTCATGGGAACATCCCAAAAGATCAGGAGATCCTCATCGACAACCACGTCACATCCAAAGTCACCTAAATCAACGTTCTCCTCCATTTCTGGTGCTCAGTTTAAACTTCAGCAGGTTGTGTTGAGTTGCTGATCTGTGATTGGCTGATTTATATGTAATTTTTTTTATTCTATCTCCTAACTTTATGAAGAAAAATACAACATTTAACTTTAGTTCAAGCTTCCCTATTTAATCAATGAGAAGTGTGTTATCCAGTTTAAAGTGTGCTATTGCCAAAAATCTCTATCTCTCTCTTGCTCACACACACACACACACACACACAAACACACACACACTGCCTCTGTGTAAGCCTGTATATACACCATGTATTTCTCCAGGCTCCTCCTGACCTGTTAAGAGAGCGATGGGAGAGTCACCTGTCATGGTGGGAGCAGTGTTGCTCATGGGAGGCATGTGAGGATATCCTGGTGGGCCCATCAGAGAAGAAAGGTTTTGTCTCGAGTCCATGTACATGTTCCCTGTGGGAGAATAGACAAAAGGGCAATGACTAACTGTCAGATTAGTATCCCGGCTTTCACACCACTCGTCTTTGCAGAACACAAGCTGTTATCATGGGCGCACACAATTTTATTGTCGTTTTATGCTAAGCCAGAGAAATCCAATAGATTCTGCTGCCACTCAGTGGATTTCCCTCTGGTGAAATATTCCCCCATCTTCATATCTTTACTTCAGTTGCCGTTAAACCGACAGACTCCATAATTTCGCTGTAAATAGACAACGAGCCAACGATGACACAGCGAGCGGAGAGACTGGCAGTCAGCTGAGCTCCTGCCTCCATCCCGTCAACTAACAGCAGGAACCATTATTTTGCTAATGGAGAGTTTTTGGGGGTTCCATATGTTATTTTAAGTTAACATACTTTTTTTCACGCTTTTCTTTTCTTCTGACACATGAGTGGAGTCATCAGATAAAAATAAATAACAGCATTTTATTTTAATGTTTGTTTGTTTTTTAACAGGATACTGCGGTGTAAATAATTAAATACTCACTATTAATATTAAAGAACAGCAGTCCAGAGTACGATGCTGCCATGTGTGCATGTGTGTAAAGCCCTGTGCACATATAAAGCAGCTGACTTTCCAGGTCTAAGCTGGTTACTAGCAGAAATCTCAGCCTCTGGTCCCAGATGCAACGATCTAATATACTGCTATCCTTATAGTACAGGATCCTTGGCCCGGCAGACTGACCTGTGCTGATGTGTTGATTATGTGGGTTGTGTTGCCCATGCTGATTGTGATGGCTGGGCTTTGGATGCATGGCCCCGTGCGGCTGAGCCGGGTGTTGAGGAGCGGACGGCGGCGCAGGATGTTGGACCTGAGGTTGTGGGTGGGTGGCGCCCTGAGGGGGGATGACCCCCGTCGCCATGAAGAATTGGTTAATGGAGGAACACAGGTCAGCCATCTGGGCAGCATCAAGAGACCAGTTGCTGAGCTCCGCCTGTCGCATGCTCTCCTTCAGACCTGACAGAGAGAGGAAGCAAAGTGCTGTGACTGCCACGCACCAGAGCTTTTACTGCTTCAAGATCTGACATCGTTTCATGTACTTTATTTTATTGTTTTGATTTGGTTTTTTACAGGTAAATTAATGCACGAGTTACCGAGCTGTTAATTTGCATTTGTTCAGCTTGTTCTGCCAGACAGGAAAAAAACAAACAGAAAAAGAAGCGATATAAGAGAAAACCTATTATTAAATTAAATCAATATGCTAAATATAAAGGAAGCAAGGCCAGCACTGGTTTCTGTGATTTTTTTTTTTAAACACGGCAAAAATGAGTCTCTCATTTCTGTGGGTACAAAAATTTCACTTCCTTCACTACTTTACTGAAAAAGCAGACCAAACGTTGCTGTTCTCTAATAGATGCTTTCTTCTTAGCAGCACTGCCAAGAAATACCCGACATCCTCTAAGTGGGTGGTGATTGACTAATGAATAATTTTAAACATCAGGCATGCATCAGTGCTTATCAAATCGAGTAAATTGTAATTTTTTGTGATGTAGTGTAATTCCCTCGGTGTTTTATCTAATAAATTAGGAATATGTTTATAGAATGAACAGACAGGCTCAATTGTAGTCGCACCTGCAGGAAAAAAAAAAAATCACAGCATGCGTTTTCAAATTTTGCATGAATAAAAAAAAAAGTCACCTGTTGCCTACTGGTGGTGGTCAGAGAGCCTGGTGGTACCAGTGTCCCTAACCCTCTGTAAGTGCGCCCCAGCGCAGCTGTGGCTACAATCTAGCTTGCCATCACCAGTGTGTGTGTATGTGAATGGGTGGATGACTGAATGTAGTGTAAAGTGTTTTGGGGTCCATAGGGACTGAGTAAAGCGCTATACAAATACAGGCCATTTACCATATACACCACTGACAGGGGAGGTTACACTCATGCTTTCTTCATCATCACTAACCCACTGTTAGTGGGTGGGAGATATCGGGGAGCAAGTGAACATTTTGTCCTCAAAGTTGATGTGTTAGACGGAAAAATGGGCACATGTAAGAATTTGAGTGAGTTTGACATGCGTCAGATTTTCTCCAACACTGCAGCTCTTGTGGAGTGTTCCTGGTCTGCAGTGGTCAGTATCTATCAAAGGGGTCCAAGGTGAACCAGCGACAGGGTCATTGGTGGCCAAAGCTCACTGATGCATGTGGGTAGTGAAGGTCATAAAGTTAGACCCGATCAGTGTGTACCAGCTATGATACTGCTCCCCTTAAGCCTTAAAAGCTTTAGAAGTACATTTTTACAACTGTGTCAGAAGCCTTTGATTTATTCACCAAATACATTATTTAATATTTATGTGGACTAAAACATTGATAAATAAATACACGTGGATGCTTATGGGAGGATATTAATGGGTCTATGATTTAAAGGTGTAGACACCACTCAGTCACTGCTGGGAAAAAATACAAATGTATTTTTAATAGTTTCATCAGCTGATTTAAATGCCTACAAAATGTCAATTCTTTAATAATTCTTGCATCAGTATCTCAGACATCCTTGCAGCTTCATCATTTAATGCAATCGAGTTTCATCACTGTAGATTGTGACATTTTTAATTCTGAAAATGGGAAATTTGGTATTTGCAGGATCGTAACAGTTTTTAAAAAAAAATTAGATGTAAATTCTTGACCACAAAATAAGTTACAAGTTTTCTTTAGACTCGCTAATTATATTGAGCAAAATGTACAGGGTGGGCCATTTATATGGATACACCGTAATAACATGGGAATGGT